GACACAACTTCGCTTTAGGTGAGTCCCTTTTCTGGAAGCCCATTCTGCTCCACGTCCATTCCTTCCCCATCAATCTTGAATTCAGTCGACGTGGAAGAGTGCATAGCATAATGGATGTCTCCCTCCAATGGCTCATAGAAAAGCATAGAGGCCTGTAGTGGGAATAAGAGGTAAGGGGCATTATACTAGGCTTTAATCCCCCTCCTACCACAGACAAACAATTTTCACATCTGCTAGTTCTACACACTGAAAAGAGGAATCCGAACAACGTATCGGTGCAACTCATTTGCAAAGACGCCTTCAACAACGCCCTGCATCTATTACCAGCAGGCCACATAATGGCTCGCGTACAGTGCTGTCATGGCGCACAATTACAGAGCGCATAATATATCAGAGGGATCTGTCAAGACGATTGTTAAATTAAATATTTCTAAAGGGAAGGGGGTATACATGCTTCCCCTTATTTACTTCACCACTACATTTGACATTATAGCGACGAGCTATGGCATTGAATGTGGGCTCAGACGTGAGGCAAGGCGATAGAACAAGGTCAGAGGAGAACGTGACAGATTCGGTGTATTTGTGCATCATGCCGCCGACGGCAAAAATGGTCGCATAGTTATCCGCACTGGAAGCATTTTGCTTCAATTGTACCCACACAGTACGCTAAATGTAGATGACAAGAGGTGACTTTGTTGCTGCCGTGGTGGCAGAGCAATCGACCGACGTGGGTAGTAAATATTATGACACAGCTTCTTGGGGAAGTAACTAATGGAGCTGCAATCTGACACCCGCGGCGGGTCGTTACCACCGCCTCGAGCATTCACAACACACCCATATGAAACGCCGCCTATTCTTTAAACAACACTTTCTTCGTTGGGACTTTTGAACGAGGAAAAAAATCAACCCAAAATTACTCAGTTAAAATGGGTAAAGGAGACGTTTTTGTTTTATATCATCGAAAAGAGGACCGTGCATGACTCGAGGACAAGATGCAACTTACCACGGTACGAGCATTTTTTTGTACTAGTACAAGAAAATTTGGTTTGCGATGAACCGATGAAAGGAGCTGGATACGAAACTGGTCAAGGTACTGTACTCCATCGATGGTGGTAGTAGTGGTTACAGCAGTCTGATCACCATTGGCAGAGTTAGGCGGAACGGAAAGCTAGAAGACCTTGAGCAGATCTTCAACAACTCGCAGAACCATCTCTCCGGTCTGCTGTCTTCCATCTGGTCTGAGGAGAAAACAACAAATCTTGGACATCCTGCAGCAAAGTTTGACAGATTCATCGCAGCCTGCCTTTGTTCTTTCGTCACTAGCGCTCCTTCAATTAAAACTAACATTGCGTTTTGTTATCAGGTCAATTGGTTGAAATAGATGTACTGAATGGCGCCACAAAAGGTTCCGAAGAAAATTTCGTGTAAAGAATACATGTCACATATACGTGACGCCAGACGACCACACCTCAAACTGCAGCAAGAGTAGGAAAGTTAGACAATCAGTGCTTTTCAAGGGTGTCAAGTGATTAATGGACTGCTCAAAGGTTACCTGTTTGATCTCGCAACCGTTCGGCAAAAAATATTTTCACAAATTAGGCCT